GTCCTTTGTTTCTCTGGTTACATTTATTCCTAGATATTTCATCCTTTGGGTGGCTATTGTAAATGGTATTGCTTTCCTAATGTCCTTTTCAATGCTGTCATTTTTCGTCTAGAGGAATCCAACTGGTATGTTGATCTGATACCCTGCCACTTTTCTGAATCTTCCATTGAGGTCTAGTAGCCTTCTTACTGAGTCTTTGGGGTTTTCTACGTATAGGGATCACATTTCTTATTCTGACGTACTCGGAGTAGCATCTTAGCAACTCACAAGCCTCCGCTGACAGGTGGAGACTGTGTGTGAGGTGAATGGCTGGGAAACCAACTCAGATCTCCTGCATGTGGAAGGCGAGAATTCTACCACTGGTCCACCAATGCCCTCATTTAGAAGGGCTAATGAGCATTTCACTGAACTCTGAGGTGACTTTATCGGTAAAGAATGGGAATTTCTGTTGCCCTGAAGGTAGGATGCTTTGTGAGCAAGTTAAAATTTCTGTGCAAAAGCAAGTTAGTGGTTATGTGGTTATGAGATGCAGCTGCCATATACGCAAACTGGAGAGAACCTTCTGTGAACTACGAGCAGCCCCCACCTCACAGCCAGAGTCAACTTCATTCATTAGTATGGTGTAATGGTTATTGTTTTGAATTTATCTGGCACACTTGGTAAGGACTTTTGTGATGCCCTCTCATTTCTCTTTAGTATCAATGATATAATACTATTCAAATATTAACACTCTTTTTAAGTGTAAGATTGTTCATGAAAATTTCTTCAAAGAGAAGCTATGTAGAACTTAAGTATTTGTATAAGGAGTAGTCTGATTGCTCTGGGTTCCTTTTCATGGGATTCTATTTCTTAGCGGAGGGAGGGATTTGGATTGGTGTGTCAGTGATTTGCCCTGTTGTTTTTTCTGGTCCCCATGCAGGGATCCTGCCTCCACACCACGAGTCCCACATCCAGGTCATGACGTACCGTAGGGAGCAGTACTCTGACCTCCTGCACGCCTTGCAGGTCGTCCGCTTCGTCAGTGATGCCAGACCTCAGGTTGAAGTGTATCTCCGCATGTACCAGCTGGAGTCTGGGAAGTTGCCCCGAAGCCCCTCTTTTCCGCTGGTTAGTGGTTTGGACACTTAGCTGAACTATTGACTGACCCATCTTGCCAGTATCACTTCATGTTTTGCCTTACAGACTTTCAGTGACCCTCACGCTCCCAACATTGCTTTTCTGGGCATTCACCACCCTGCACGTTCTGATCCCATTTGCCTTGTTTGGAAATTATAAATGCGTTCTATTTTATTTTATGTTTTAAATAATATTTGCTTGAGTTTTTGGTGAGAGTTTACAGAGGAAGTTAGGTCCCCATTTGATGATTTCTGTACAGATTGTTCAGTGACATTGGTTGCACATAACACAGTGTGTCAGCATTCTCTTTAACTGTGTTCTGTTTGTTCCCTTTCCAGTACTATAGTTTCCCTGCCCTCTCGCCTTCTCTTCTTTGCAAGTAGTTGATCACTTTTGGTCTCTTAATGATGGTATTTAAGTAGGACATTTTACAGGGACACCCTTTATTTTGGTGTCACATTTGTTACAAGGTGGCTTCGGGATAGACTCAGTTCTGGGTTTGAAGAGTATCTCAGGGTTATAGGCTCAGGGAGACCTCTATTCTCTGCTGTTGTAGTTTTTGAGTTCTCCACATTTTTCTTCCCTCCCACCCACCCAGGACCATCCCTTTGACCCTGGTCAGAACATTTGGTGGTGGCTGGCAGGCACCATCACCTAGTTCTCTGGTCCCTAGAAGGATAAGGCTGTGGCTCATGTAAACTTGTTTTCTCTTCGAGCTTCTAGTTTCATGGCTGCTCACAAAGTTTTTAAGACCCTGGGCAACACTCACTTCGCAGGTCATGTTTTTTGAGGATTATATTATGACAGTTGACTGAGTTGCCCATGAGACCACAGTTGTAAGCCTTTAAATCCAGAAAACCAATCTTAGAATGTGTTTGGTTATGTCTGAGGACTATCTGTATTTGGGTCTTCAGTGAACATATGGGCCTGCACCCATGTATTTGTATTTACATGTACCTGTGTGGCACTGTAGGAGTCCTGGTGTGGGCTAATGCATCAGACTGCAAAATCATTTGAACTACAAGGTTGGTGGTTCAAGCTCACCAACTGCTCCTTGGAAACCCTATACAGGGTCTCTATGGGTCGGAATCGACTTGACAGCACTTAACAACAACGTGGTACTGTAGAATCAGCATTGGACAGTGAGCTACAAGGTCAGCAGTTCAAACCCACCAGATGCTCCTCAGAAACTCTACAGCATCACACTGCCAGAACCAACTGGACAACACTTAACAACAACATAGGTACTTCTGAGCCCTGGTGGCATAGTGGGTTTCACATTGGCTTGCTGACTGCTCCGTGGGAGAATGATGATACTTTCTGCTTCAGTAAATTTTGTTGTTGTTAAGTACTGTCAAGTTGTTTCTGAATCATAGTGACCTTGTAATAGGGTTTCCGAGATGTTAAATCCTCACGAGAGCAGAAAGCCTCATCCTTCTCCTGGGTAAAGGTTTACAGCCTCTGAAACTATCCAGGATCACTGTGAGTCAGAATCACCTTGATGGCACACCACCCCCACCATTGTACACACTTGTACCTACCCATATGCCAATACCAATCCATATGTGCTCAAACACTGGTTTTTTACTTTAGTTGTGCTCTGCTCGCTAGATTTACATCCAGTGCCACTTTTCCAATCACCAAAAATAACAAAGCCTTCAGTATGTATAATACTTCATTGTAAAGAAAACTAAAATCCTCACAACTGGACCAATGAACAGTATCATTATAAATGGAGAAGAGTTGAAGTTGTCAAGGATTTCATTTCATTTGTTGTGGGGCAGAGAATTTACTTAGTGAATTTACTAGCTTGGCCTTTTTGTTGTTGTTAAGTGCTGTCAAGTCAGTTCCAACTCATAGCAATTCTTGTTTGGGGTTTCCACGGCTTTAAATCTTTTTGGGAGCAGAAAGCCTCATCTTTCCCCCATGGAGTGGTTGGCAAGTTTGAACTATGGATCTTGTGGTTCACAGTTCAGTGCTTATCTTATGGAGCCACTGTGTTCCCCAGGGTTTTATGTTGTTGACACGTGCTGTTGAGTTGGTTCCAACTCATAGTGACCCTGTATAGGGTTTCCAAGGAGCGGCTGGTGGGTTTGAACAGCCAAACTTGTGACTCAAACTAACCTTGCAGTCCAGCGCATTATCCTGCTGAACCACGCCAGGCCTTTTAATGCCCACCAAATAATTGGGTGAGGCCATGCGAATTGTGTGCATGGGATTCCAACATAGGGCTGAGTTAGCTCTTACATCTAGTTGGCTTTAACAGAAGCCATCTCAGAAGCAGAAGCAGACGATCCAGGAGCATGAAGAAAGAAGAGCCGTGGGCACAGCATGAGATTGCTGCCTGGAAAAGTTGCAGCAGCAAAGGTGACAGCGGAGATAGCGACATGGAGAGACGGAGCAGCTGCAGGCTTCCCGGCCCATGCACCTAGTGTCTACGGGCAGGAGGCTGGCCTGCAGACTGTGTCCTCTGGGCATTTACAGACATGGTGAACAAGCTTTGTAACACTTGGCCTGAGCAGGGCAGATGCCTGAGGGCCACAAGGCTGAGCAGCTGAAGAAGACAAGAGTGAGGTGCCTGCAGTACAGCAGAGAAAAGGCACTTCTGACCGGAGAACCGCTGCATCCTGACTTGTTTCTCATCCTGAATCGTACCCTGTTCACTTCCCTAATAAACCCCATCATCGTGAGTGTTGTCTGTGAGTTCTGTGTGCACAGTTCAACAGATTATCAAACCCAGCAGAGGAGTGAGAATGTGGTGGTGGGGTGAGGGCGGTGGGTACCAGAAGAGGAGAAAGAACATTGAAGGGTAGAGGCACGTGCAACCTCTGCCTCATAGGAACCAGTCTTGGGTTGATATTGAGTTTGAGTCTTCCTTCCACTTGTGAAGCCAGGGGGAGTCAGACGTGGCCTCCATGCCTTTTTTTGCACTTGGATTTACAATCAACACTCATGGAAACAGCAGTCAAGAAGTCAAGTGACGTATTGCGTTGGACAGAAGACCCCCTTTAAAGTATTACAGCGCAAAGATGACACTTTGAGGACTGAGACTTTACCTGATCCAGTTGCTTCCTATCATGTGAGAACCAGACAGTGAATAAGGAAGATGGGTAACAATTGAAAGGTTGGCACTTCAGAAGACCAGCAGCTGCTCTGTGCCTAGAAAGATGAAACTGTTTGCTCCCATAAAGATTTACAGTCTCTGAAACCATATATGGGGTCACTGTGAGTCAGAATCACCTCAGTGGTAGTAGGTTCAGGGTATATTCCTAGAAGTAGGCTTGCTGGACCCGAGGTAGTGCTATTGTAGTTTTTTCAGAATGTACTATACCATTTTGCGTAGTGGCTGTAACATTTTGCAGTCTACCTTCTCAAGAACTGTAAAGAATATTGAGATTTTCATCAGGACTGTATTGTTTCTGTAGATCAACTTTAGGTAGGATTGACATTTTTTCTATAGTAGTAGCTCTTCCAATCCCTGAAAGCACCAGATGTGTTGCCATTTTTGTACATCTCTGCAAAAAAGAGGAGAGAAAAAGGTTGAAAAGATAAAAAAGAAAGAAAAGACCAAAATGGATGTCTGAAGAGACTCTGGAACTTGCTCTTGAATGTAGAGTAGAGTAGCTAATGCAAGAAGAAGAAATGATGACATAGAAGAGGTGAACAGAAGATTTCAAGGGGTGGCTCAAGAACACAAAGTGAAATATTACAATGAAATGTGCAAAGACCTGGAGTTAAAGAATCAAAAGGGAAGAACACACTAAACCCTTCTCAAACTGGAAGAACTAAAGAAAAAAAAGCCTTACCTTGCAATATTGAAGGATTCTACGGGCTATGGGTAAATGCGCTGGACTGCAGAGTCATTTTCCACAAGATTGGCAGCTCAGGCTTACCAGCCGATCCTCAGAAACTCTATACAGGGTCACGATGGGTCAGAACCAACTCGATGACACTTAACAACATTGGCAAAATATTGAATGACACAGAAAGCATTAAAAGATGAGGGTGAGGGGAAGATACACAGAGTCACTGTATCAAAAAGAATCAGTGTTCAACCATTCTAGAGGTAGCATATAATGAAGAACTGATGGTACTGATGGAAGAGGTTGGGATTGCATTGAAGACATTGGCAAAAAGAAGATTCCAGGAATGAATGGGATACAGATTTTGAGATGTTTCCACACACAGATGCAACACTGAAGGCACTCACTTGCCTAAGCCAAGATACTTGAGGACGGCTTCCTGACCAACCTTTAGGGCTGGGTGTTGTCCTTCAGTTTGTCTAAGACTTCCTTCTGTGCTCTGTGGGGGCTGCTTATACCTGGGCTGACATTCACTGGAAACACAGGCTGACTCTCCATCACTTCAGCAAGTGGAGGGGCTGCTTTTCCCCAGAAGAGTCTCTGAAAGATCCATCTTATTGCTTCCACAGCCTCAGTGGCCCTGGGTTGGTTGAGGGATCAATCTCCACTTAGGGAATTCTCCTCCTGATTCTATTCAACTGTAGGGACGGGCCTTCTGTAGGACTTTGTCTAAGTCTAGCAGACAGCCATCCCCAGTTATAGAAGGGGTCGTCCCACTCCAGGTGGACACCCAGGGAGCTCAGCCTTGTTGCAGTCAGACCCTGCTGCTGTCTTACGTTGGCTGTGGGCATAGCCTTCACTAGATACCTGCTTGTTAGTACACAGTGGCCTCAGTCAGCAGTGCTCACTGCCAACTGGAAGGGGGCATACCCATTACCATGGAGTTGATTCCGACTCATAATGACCCTGGAACTGCTCCTGAGGATTTCCAGTTCTGTAAATCTCTACAGCAGTGGACAGCCTCATCTTGCCTATGGAGCAGCTGGTGGATTTGAACGGTTGACTTTGAGGTTAGCAGCCCAGTGCTTATCCTGTTATGCCACCAGTTCGTTGTCTGGTTGCCCCTGTTGTAGTATGTTGGCTTTGGCTGTAGCTTCCACTGAAGGTGCTACGTCCTAGCATGCAGCTGCCTCTGTCAGTACTCAGTTCCTACTCATGCGACTCCGGGTTTGCAGAGTAGAACCACTCCATAGGGCTTCCGAGGGTGTGTCCTTTCGAAAGGAAACTGCCAAGAATGTCTTCCAAGGCACCCGTGGGTGGGTGTGAACCATCAACCGTTCCATTAGTAGCAAAGTGCTTACCTTGTGTGCGCCACTAGGAGCTCCTCAAAAGAGAGAAGCCCCTTCAAGAAAGGGTCAAATGCATGGGCGCCAAGTTGATTCCGATTCATATTAACCCAGTTAAGGTTTCCAAGCACAAACAGACAGCCTTTTATCTTTCTCTCACAGAGCATCTGGTGGATTTGAACCTTCAACCTTTTGGTTAGCATTTTATTGTTGAATTGTAACTTGTAGCAGTCTCATTGAAGTTTCACTTACTCTTGGCAAGATGTCTTGGGTGTGAAAAATTGTTAATCACTTTGTTGCTAACTGAAGGTTGATAGTTCAAGCCTACTCAAAGTTGCCTTGGAAGAAAATGGTGATCTACTTCTGAAAAAGTAGCCATTGAAAAACCCTGTGGAAAAAACAAAACCAAACAAAAAAACAACGCAGTGGAGTACAGTTCTACTCTGACTCACATGGAAACCTTGAATTGGAAACATCTCAACAGCAACTGACTTGGTTTTGATACCATTGACAAGGTGAAGCTTGTATACTGCACACATTCTTAAAGTAAGCATTATGTTAAACGTAGTCATGAAATCTAAAAAGGAGTTCTAGTTTTTTCTTCATTCCTACTCAGCCTGTCTGTCCATACTTCATGCCCAGACACCTTCACTATAAGACTTGGGCCGACACGTCCTTTAAATGTGTGTTCATGCTCTGCCGCTCTGTTTCTCCCCAGTCTGAGCTCTGTGCAACCTTTTCTTATTGGACAACAAGAGTGTAGTTTAGTGTTGGGCCTAGCCCTCCTTTCCTACTTCTCAGGGTCACCAGGAAGTTAGTGAGGCAGCACCATCCAGGGTATACACCCAGTGCCCAGTACTAAGTGGAAGACCATGAAGGGAGTTTCCTTCCTTCTCTTCTTTCCTCCTCTGACGCATTAATCAATGAGCAGAGAAGTTAATTTTCTATGATTCTTACTTAGTCATGACATTGCATAGACTAGTAATAAGCTGAAACAAGGTCTAAAGATGAAATACATCTTTCAATGTAGGCCTTTTGACTTAATGTGTGACTTTTGGGGAGGAGAGAAAAATACATTTTCATTTCCTTTTAACATTGAAACATTTCAGCTATGGAATTATAGATGAAAATGTAAAGCTTTGCATGTAAGATGTTGTTATTGTCGTCAAGTGCCATCGAGTCAATTCCGACTCATAGCAACCCTGTATAGGAGTTCCAAGGAGCAGCTGGTGAGCTTGAACCACCAACTTTGCAGTTCAAATGTCTTTGCAGTCTGATGCGTTAGACCACAGCGCCACACCAGGACTCCTTACGTGTAAGATAGGATGTTGGAAAACAAAGTAAGTTTTCAAATAACGGGTATAGTTGTTGTAAGATGAATCTATTGTTGAAATGCACTTGAGGATTTACTTCTGTACCAAGTTTTGACATTTCATAAGGTTTGGGGAATGTCGTTCTTTTTATTCCTCAAATTCTGGTTCTGGGAACATTTTAGGTGTGATGCTGTAGGATAAGCACTGGACCACAAGTCAATGGTTCAAACTTACCAGCTGCTCCTTGGAAACTGTATACAGGGTTGCTTTGATTGGCACCGACTCAATAGCACTTCACAATGAAGAGAACGCATTCCTACATCATATGAATGCTCCGAAAGAAAGCACACTAGCCCTTCTGGAGCCATTCCATTCACCCTCTTGTCACTTCCCAGCATGGTTAGGGCCCAGTATTAAAAAATGAGGGTTAGGTGAAAATATAGGGTTTTTTTTCTGTTTTCAGACCATCCATTTATTCAATTTAGAAAATATAGAAAAGTAACAGCTGAGATAAGTCAGTATTATCATAGAAATAATAGCTAAGTGTGGCGCGATGGTTAATGTGCTGGACCACAAGGTCAGTTTGAACCACAAGGTCAGTGGTTTAAACTCACCAGCCACTCTTCAGAAACCCTATACAGTGTCACTGTGTGTCAGAACCTATTCGATGACAGTTAACAACAACAAGGAGTCCTGGTATGGCACTGTAGGAAAAATACTGGACCACAGATCGGTTTGAACCACAAGGTCAGCTGTTCAAACTCAACAGCCACTCCCTGTAAACCCTATACAAGGGTTGCTGTGAGTCAGAAATGATTCGACAGAACTTAACAAGAAAATATACTAGGAGTCAGAGTGTAGTGTTGTAGGATAAGCATTGGACTGCTAACTGAAAGTTCAGCGGTTTGAGCTTACTAGCCACTCCTGAGACACCCTATGCAGGGTTGCTATGAGTTGAAGCTGACTTGATAGCACTTCACAACAACGAGATTCCTGATGCGCTCGTCGCTGGCATGAACTTAATTGTGGAGTGTTCATGCCTCTGTGGAGAAGGAGGTTTGGAGACTAAAGCGGGCCTGTGTGACTGGAGGCCTCCTGGCTCACCCACAACACCTGCCTCTTATGCTGACCCTGAGTTGATGATCCTGGAGGAATCCTGGAGAACAGGTGTGCCCAACAGACCTGGAGAGTCACCGAGGCTGGGGCTTCCTGAGAGGATGTTGGGAGTCTGACCACTCACCCATCCCCATCAGGACCAAGGCTTCAGGCCCAGACTGGCTCACTCTGGGATGTCAGTAAACTCGCGCACATTTCTTTCAAACACTGTTCCAGTGCCTCTTTCTCCCCTCCTTTCCAACCCCTCAGACATTTTGAACTTCAGGGCCTCAGGCTGCTTTGGAGCTGGGAACCCAGAACAGGCCTGTGGCCATGGGAAGCCAGTCTTGCATGGCAGCCAGACACCGTTCCCTGTTGGCAGGAGAGAGCAGAGCATATGGGGCAGCAGACCCCAGCTTCCTGGAGCCCACCCAGACCCCCTCGAGGGAGGGCATGTTCCACAGCCATTGGTGCTTTGCCGTCCACCTCATTAATGCAGAAAACAGTCTGAAAGGAGATTTTCTACTCTTGCTGTAAATGGGAAATGTTGGATAACAAGGTAGCCAATAAGTGCTGAATAGTTGTATTTGCAAAGCACTGTATTGACAAATGTCTCCAATGATTATATGTGTTATTTATCACATTATTTAAAAAGAAATTCCTATCTAGTCATGAGGATATTTTTGGTCAGTGAGATTTAGGCTGTCACTGTGATGGCCCTAACGTTACAAGTTGGAAAATCCCCCCGTTTTCAGCCATTCCTAAGCAACACCGATTCTAATAGATTATTTTTAACCTCCAAGCTTCCTTCGTCGTGCTGTGGGATAAAGCACTTGACCACAGAGTCGTTTTGAACCACAAGGTCAGCTGTTCAAAGTCACCAGCTGCTCCTTGGAAACCCTGTACAATGTCGCTATGATTCAGAAGCAACTCCATGGCACTTAACAACATCCTTCCACACACAGTGCTACTTTTTACTGTGAATTGGGTTCCGGTTTACAGAACAGATCATTAGGTGTATGTTCAACAAATCACACATGTTTTGAATGCAGTGTCCTCAGTGTAATATCACTTACCTTACTTCCTTCCCATTTCCTGTTTCCGTTCCTTCTTTCCTAACTCTTCTGGATTTTGTCCTTGGCTAAATGCTGCCCTTTTGATCTCAAATGATTGATTTTTCTAAGGTGTGTGTTGGTATTGTTCTCTTTATAGCCCTGTCTATTGTTTGGCAGAGAATTGAGCCAGGAGGGTGAATTCAGTTCTAGACTTGAAGGGTGACTAAGGGTCATATTCTGGGGGTTCTACCAATCTCTATCTGACCAGTAAGTCTGGTCTGTTTCATGATTTTGAGTTCTGTTCCACATTTTTCTTCCACTCTGTCTAGGATCTTCTAATGTGATCTCTTTGAGAGCAGTTGGTGTGGGAGCACCATCTAGTTCTCCTGGTGTCAGGGTCATGGGGACTGCTGTTATGTGGGAGCACCACCTAATTTTCCTGGTCTCTGGGTCCTGGGGACTGATGTCATGTGGGAGCACCATCTAGTTCTCCTGGTCTCAGAGTCGTGGGGATTGATGTTACGTAACGTGTTAGTCCACTGGGCTAATTGTTTCCAAATGTCTTTGCTTTTCATCCCGCTGCTCTCTACCAGAAGGGGAGAGAACAATCGATGCACCTTAGGTGGCCACTCAGGAGCTTGTGTTGTGTTTTTATAGTTTCATCAGCTTTACTCATTCACTCATTTAGAAGAGATCCACTCTTTGTAGAAATATGAATTATGCTTAAAATTGTTGTGGCAAAATTATGTTTTTTAACTGCCTTTCCCATCACTCAAGTCCGCACATGTCTACCTTCTAGCTTCAAATAGATTTCTGTAGTTACTCACCCTTATTCTTTCACGTGGTCTGCCCTAGAGTGGTGGGCAATGTGCTTTTAGATCCCACTTTGATTTACTAGTACAGCCCCTTCCAAATTTAGAGGGCATAGTTTCATTTTTATTAAAGAAATGTGTATTCTGTTCTGCTGCCTCCCTCTTGAGATTTATTCTTATTCTTTCAGGAGCCAGAAGACAGGGTGTTTCTTGCGATTGCGAAAGCGATGGAAGAGATGGTGGAAGACAGTGCAGATTGTTACTGGATGATCCGGAGTTTCGTGAACCAGCTGAAGAAGAAGTACCGGGATTCTCTACCCCAGCTGGTGAGGGCGATTTGGGATATTGATGGGTGGAGGTGAGCATTAGTTCTGGCGATCTTCCCGGGACTGGCTACAGTTCTACATGGACCCTGTATAGCAGAGGTCAGCAAATGTTTTTTTGTGAAGGGTCAGACAGGAAGTGTGTTCAGCTTTGCAGGCTAAATAGTCTCAGTTGCAAGTGCGTCGGTCTGCTGCCGTCATGGGAAGATGGCTGGATATGGCCCCCCCTGTGGGCTGTTGTGTGTTAGCCCCTGCTCTATAGTGGTCCTTATCCTGCTCTAGAATCCATTGGCTTGATGTAGAATTATCCGTCAATATTAGTGAAGGTTTAAGAAGCCCAATTCATTCACTCTGTAACTGGAAGCCCCGAGGTAAGGCATTGAAAGCCCTGCAGCTCCATGATATTGACGGTCATCCTGACTGCTGCTCTGCTTGTCCAGCCGCTCTTCTGGCCGGAGCCTTACTCTCATGCTCACGCCCAATAGACCAGCTGTGTTCTAGGCAGGAAGGAGGACAAGAGCAAAGGAGCACAAGGGACAGGCTGCCGAGTGCACCTGCTCTTACAGGCTTTACCCTGCATGCGAGTGTCAGGAATGTGTCACCTGGACTCGGAAACCCTATCCAGGGTCACTATGATTCACAGCTGACTCACCGGCACTGAACAACAGCAGCCATATCAGAAATACCACAAGTATTCTGGTTGTACTTCTTCCAACATAGATCTGTTTGTTCTTTTGGCAGTCCATGATACTTTCAATTCTCTCCTCCAGTACCGTAATTCAAATGCATCAATTCTTTTAGGGTCTTCTTACTCATTGCCTAACTTTCACATGCGTATAAGGCTATTGAAAACACCATGTCCTGGGTCAGGTGTACTATAGTTTTCAAACTGACATCTTTGCTCTTGAACACAGTGAAGAGGTCTTAAAGCAGTGGATTAGCCAGTTGCAGTACACCATTGGATTTCTTGAGTGTTAGTTCCCTGAGTGTTGATAGTTGATCTGAGCAAAATGAAATCTTTGACAACTTCAGTCTTTTCTTCATATATCTTTTTTTTAAAAATAAGCTTTTATTGTGAATTGAATGATAGTTTACATGGGAGAACATCAGCTTTACATTTATCCTATCGTGTTTTGTTTCATTGCAATGATTACAATCCCCTCCTTGCATTCAACAGCATTTGCTTCCATTCCCTCTGTTTTGTTTTTAGATGTACACCAAAGCACTCAGGAATATATAACCATTCAAACAACCAAGGGGTGCACCCCACAAGCCTGGTCCTGGCCACCAGCACACAGCCCTTCTCCCTTCCTGAGTCCAGAGTCCCCAGCCGCTCTTTCTCTTCATATCTTCATCTCTGCCTCCATCTCTGGCATTGCTGCTTCTCTGTATAGGGTCCCACACTCCGCTCTTCTCCCTTGATGGTCCCAGGGTCCTCCGCTCCTGGACTACAAAACATCTACCTTACATTTGCAACATTCACCATCAGTCCTGATAGCAATTATTCACTGTTGAACCACAAGAGTCGTTTCCCCATCTCTCAGTGGAAATTACACCTTCCTTCACGCCTTCTGGATCTGGGCTCCCTCTTGAAAGCTTGTAAACCAGTCACTTCTTGCCTTTGTAGCTGCCCCCCCCCCCC